CTTATTTCTAGTCTTACTAATAATCTTAGCATTCACAGTTTCTTTTATTCTTCAAAATACGTACAGGTGAAAGAAGACATAAAGAAAGTGCATTCAGTTAATTTTTGTACCAGCAATCAGACAGATGAAAACATTTCTTTATTTTTATCATTAATATAGATTAAAACATGTGAAAATGCCTGAATCTAAGAACTAATCAGCCAAAATCTCATCCAGTTCCACTCGCCTTTCAAGCATATCGAAGATTAAGAAAAAAAAACTAACTGTAATCTTTCTTCTGAAGTATGCGTTTCTAAAAACGGTGTTATGAGCAGATGATAACCAAATAATTATAATGCCACATGTGAACTAATATTAGCGTCTAATGAAATAGTCTTGCGTAGTTGTATGTTAACAGAGAAAATAGCCATCCCGACAAATTTATCAAGAAATATATGAGATAAAGAAACCAGAAAAGGACTACTCACTATCCAAAAACAAGAAGCCTAAATACATACGACTGCAATTCAAGGGCCATATACCAAGCGAAATAGTTACGAAGAGATTAAGAAATGCCGACAGACTACAAGTCTTATTTTCTACACGAACGGTGGTAATTCTCCAGTTGAAAGATGAAGTAACTAGACTAGCCGCTACTAACTGTATCCACCAATTCAGCTGAGAGTTATATTGGCCGTTGCTCCAGGAACTTGATTTTTCGTGCCCAGGAACATCTACCGATGTGGTTAAATAAAGTTGTAGTGAGAAGCACCAACAGTTAGCTATTAGAACACCTAGTTCAAACCGGCCACGGAGCTAAAATTGAAGAATCATTCTCCATCATCTACTGGGCATCGAATAAATTACCAAAAGCATCCAGGCATCGAGGACTCCAAACAGCAGAGGCTATTGCCATTCGCCTTGAACAACCGGTGCTCTGTGTGCAGAAGAAACACGTCCAGCCATTACTACTACCCTGGCCTTCAGTGGAGAGTATACATTTATCAATTTGTATTATTATTTCTCCCAATTTTTCTGATATTCCATGTATTATGTTGATGCTACTGAACTGTAATCCCTTGATATTATTACTGATTCGATGTTATTTAAACGATATTAATGTCTTTAATAACACTAATTCATTCAGTACTGTGTATATTTAACTGTAGAACCTGATGAATAGCAGATAATCGAGAAGAAAATTCCATGTTCAGAAACCATTCTTTTGAAAATTTAATTGGCAGTCTTATTCTGTTATCATTATAGTGTTTGCTTCCAATACTACTGATGAGGCATAATAAACATTAAAAGCAAAATGAAACTAGTTTGGTGTTTGTTTTTTTCAAGTTATTTTGTAAGGATTAGATTTGTTTTGAATAATTTATACTCTCAACTATATGATAAAGAAATTTAACCTTCTCACCAATCAAATTTTTGTCGTGCATTAAATAACCTCTAGTTTAAGAGAATAAAATCAACTAGTAATCAGAGATTTTTATGAGTAGAGTCTACTATATATAAAAGATATAAATGAAAGTGGGTGATCTAAAGTTCCAACTGACTATCCACTAATCGAAATTCAACAGTTAAACTGCATACATGCACCTTAGAAACGATTTTTCAAACGAATTAGACAAACCAATGATTTACTGATATTTGAAACACGATATCTGATAAATGTGCGTGTGTGTGTTTGTGCTCATTAAAATCACAATTATCAAACATTGAGGATGGCTTTCTTTCTAACGGGAATAGTCATTTTTTATTGTTTTTTTGAAATTAAAATTTAGAAATGTCAATTTCAGAAAATTCTATTCGAAGATTCTATAAATACGATGATTTTATGATCTACCTTCTTAGATCATTTCGTATTGATGCAATAAAACAGACAATTTGAAACTCATTCATGCCTGATGATTTGTAAACAGTTTATCTAACCATAAATAATGTAAGATACATTTATTTTTAAGATAATAGTGAATTTATATGCTACTACGTGTACTTCATAGCGTTTTTATTGTGATTTTCGACTTTCTGCTATTTCAGTGTAGTAATATGATATTTTGCGCAACATGAATATATGTGCAAATACATAGCAAACGATTATATGACGATATGATACCTGCACATATTCAAATTAGTCTGTATTTCCGGTCTATTGATTATATTGGACAGAGATGCTCTGTGTCTGATGACATGTCAACTCCTAGCATGAATGCCTTGATAATATCACGGCGGCCTGCTTAAAACTTGGGCTACGAAAAACTTCCATCTCACTACTGCAAATATTTTCTCTCGTTTATTTTGTTTTAATCTTTTAAGATGTGACCTCTAATGGTATTATCTACTCTTGTGTGCATTTAAAATGTCTACAAGCTTCTGATTCGCAGGGTCCTACTAAACTTGAGGAAAGGCCCTATCGTGGGTGGCAACGTGTTCCAATACATGTGATAACTGTTCTTCAGTTCTGTCCTTGGATTTCAAAATGTACTTCTGAACATCTTACAAATGGCTTTCAACTAGATATCGTGGATTTCTTGTAGGAAACAAAGTAGATATACATAATGGAATGGTTTGTGCTTCAGCTCAGAGACCATTGTGTCACAGGATATACTGTCAGTTTATATTTTCCTTGACAATTCATCAATTTTCAAAGCTTCGTGCTCCTAAGCAGAAAGAGGAACTTTATATACACACTTTCCTTGAGGATTCGGAAGACAGACAGCGAGGAAGTGATTGACGAAGAACTGCTTAATCTCTGAGGAACCTTAATGGAAAACGGTTTTCCACCTAGGTTCATAGACAAGAATCTAAAATCAAAGAAGACTTATGAACAAGTCCAATCCGTCCAGAAGATACTTCTGCTTAATCTAGAATTCGAAGGTGACATTGAAGCAGAAATCCTTCGTAAATGCCTCTGCAAATCTCTGAGGAAAATATACTTCACCGCAAGCCTACGACTGACATTTTCCTGTAAGAAACTGTTCAGCCAGAACGCTAAAGACAAGCTGTCGCATTAGGCCACTTCGACGTGTATATACCAGTTTACCTGCTCATGCGGAGCTAAGCACATCGGCAGTACGATGCGCCAGCATAAAAAACGTGCTCGTGAACATTATCCAACCTGGCTAGTAAAAGAAGAACAAAAACTTGTTTATAGTTCATTGACAGAACATCTGGTCAATTCAGGACATTCAGCGCCATTCGAAATATCCTCCAAAATAATACACAAGATTCGATCAAACCTATCAAAGGAAGTAAAATTAGGACATTTGGGCATAGCCGGGGCACTAGCCATCCAAAGGCTCTAACCCACGCTATGTATCAAAAAGAAATATATGCAACTCTTGTCCCTGCCATGGCCATCATAAACAGGTAGTTCTTCTAACAGTGACTATCCCATTGACTTTCTTATTTATAAGTTTTTCTTAATCCCTATTTACACTACCATATTTTCATATCCAAACTTCCCGTCTAATTTTTTCATGTTGTTATTTCTACATTTCTAACTCCTAATTGGGCAATATATAAATCTTTTCAATAATTATGATGCTACTTTGTTTGGGTTTTATCCGTCCCCCTGTTTATTATGGCATTTTAATTCCTAGTCATAATTTTATTCATTTGACCTTTGACCGGAAATTATTCTGGAACTTTCCCACCCATTTATTATAAATGCACGAATGTACAGCCCAGCTGATGACTTCGTCGAAAAGGAAATTTTCTTCGCTGAAACTGTCTTTTTATTATCTCCAAATAATTAGAACTTGTATTACTGATATGTACAAATTACTATTTGTCTTATATTGATACACCACTGTAGAACGCATAGGAGACGTTAACTGAACATGTTTTCAGCAAGTATTCCATTCTTCTACAAATCTAACTCTTGTAATGGTTACGAATAGATAATTGTGAATGAAACCTTGATTAATAAATAGTAATGTATATTTATACTAGTCATAATAAATGAAACTGCCTTTATATTTTATTTTATTTCAATAACAGTGTCAAAGTTTTACTTTTTACCAGGCAGATATTCAATACTTTTTAAGCCTTTTAAAGGTTAATTTTTACTATTTTATGCAATATGAACATCTCCATTATTTTTATGTTGCTATATACTACTAATTGTTTGATATGAGTAGTTGGACACTACTGACATCAATCAGTAATGCTTGCTAGCTAAATAGAAGTGATCTGAGGAGCAGTTTCACTGGTTTGTAGACTAGTTCATCAGCTGTGTACCCGTTTTGACTCAACTGAGAGAGCTCACTCCCAAAGAAAGAGACAGGTTTTCCTTAGATATGTTCAATATTTACATACTCACTAGACACCTCTTACAACACTGAACTGACTTGTCAATCTTCCTTCCTCACATTGTATGAATCTATTATGACTGATCACCATCACTGTCTTTCATTTCACAATGTTATGTAATCACATTCAGCCCAGCACGTTTGTCACACAAACATGCTTTTTATTTATTTTGTCACCTTATAATTAATAATATGACATTCTAAGTAAAAATGTATCCACCGCGTAACTGACTATTGTTGTAATAATAAGAGACATTATATTTTATAACTGTATGAACCTGAAGACAATTAACTGAAAAGAATCTTCTTCGGTCAAAGCGGCTTTTAATGTATAACAGAACTTATTTGTTTAAGTTAATTCTGTATTTACTATTGATTGGTTGTATTGGACCGAAATACTCGGTCTCTGTTGACATATCAGCTCCTAGTACGAACGCTTCAAGGATGTTTGAGGATTAACACGATGTAATTTAGTGGATGAGGCCTGAGAATAGAATCCAGGATACGCCTCTCGTCCTACTTCCTGGGTTCGAATTTTAGTGGGAACACTATCATTAGCTGGGGATTGTAGGAGGAAACCCTCATCCTGCGCTCTACTGCTAGTCACCATCCACCGAATGGTATAATAAAACTTATTCTCTTTAATACATAATTGTAAACTGGAGTTTAGGAAAATACTATGATAGAAAACAGAATTCTTACCTTCAACGTATGGGCCATCTTCTGGATGCTCACGTATCCTTAAAGATTCATGGCTGTTTGAATCAGTCAGAAGATCATGAATTTTTTCATTGTATATTTCCACGAAGCTGTAATTAATTTTAAGTGGAAGTTTAATGAAAAAACGAGAAGGATTGTCAAAATAATAATAATACAAATTTATGAATTTATAATCTCCACTTCTGGCAAACTTCAAGTCTTATTTTCTACGCGACCGCTGGTAAATCCCAAATGGAAGATGAAGTACCTATACTAGCCACTTTTAATTGTATCCACCAAATCAACTGAGAGTTATATTGGCCGTTACTCTAGAAACTTGATTTTCCGTACTCGAACACATCTACCAGTGTCGTTAAATAAAGGTTTAGTGAGAAGCACCAACAGTTAGATATTAGAACACCTAGTTCAAACTGGCCACGAAGCTAGCATTGAAGAATAATTCTCTATCATCTTTTGGGTATCAAATAAGTTACCAAAAGCATCCAGGCACAGAGGACTCCGAACATCAGAGGTTCTCGTGATTCGCTTTAAACGGCCAATTTTCTGTGCAAATAAGTAACACGTCTAGCCATTTCTACTGCTCTGGCCTTCATTGGAGACTATAAATTCGTGAATTTGTATTATTATATCTCCCAATTTTTCTGATATTCAGAGTATTATGTTGATGCTATTGAACTGTAATCCAATGACATTATTATTATTGTTTCGATGTTATTTAAACAACATTAATGTTGTTCATAACATTAATTCATTCAGTACTGTGTATATATCACTGTATAACCTGATGAATAGTAGATTATCGAGAAGAATATTCTTTGTTCAGTAACCATTCTTTTGAAAATTCACTGACTGTTAATTTATTTCTTCGTTTTTCTATCCCATCTTGTTGAATTCAGTCTCTCCTTTACTGGGGAACCACCTTTTGTACTTTGTTGTCGCTTGTTTAGGAATCCATCCTTTAATATTAATTTCTATAGTAGCTGTTCTTTTTGTCACAAAGTTTATCAAGTGTTCTTAGCCAACAAATCGGCATATTTCTGATACTCATTGTACTTTGTTATTAGACAAGTACACCATGTTTTCTGCTGAGTAACTGATAGTATTAGTCAACGATTAGGATAAGAAAGCTACATTGGTCACCACATAAAGACTCACCCTTTATATGTATATATAGAGAGAGAGAGAAAGAGAGAGTAATTTTTAATACAATGAGCACTTTGCAAAGCAAGGAACAAGAATTTCCTCAGTACAGCAAATGATGAATACCAATAAGTGTAAGTCTCGATTCGGAGTATTATCTTCCTTGACTAGATACATACACCACTTTTTACCCACAAGAATTAAAGTCTATTTAGCTTACACTGTTGTGTGGGAGGAAACTTCATTTAAAATTATTTTAAATGAAGCGTTATTCAACTAACGAAAGCATGCTACAAGTAATACTGTATATTCACCTCGAAATAATTCTAGCTTTCGGAGAAGACAACGGTTATTGTGACCGAACATATTGTGAAAAGAAAGGCATAGTCAATTTACATTTGCCATCGTAAATATAGTTATTATATATATATAACTATATATTGTATTATTATTATATTATATAATATAATATTATTATATTATTATAGTATCAGTAACATCTAACTTCACCTTACATATCCCACTTTAGTTTATTAGAAAAAAGAAGGATTAATTTCTGCAGAATTATGTTCTATCAAAGTACTGAAGTACTACTCTTATGAAATATGGATTTCAAAAAAATGAGTCTATAAGTAGGAAACTTAAAGCTGCCTAAGGATGTAACTTTTAAAACTGATTGATATTTTAATGACATCTTTCAAACAATCACTCATGCGTATAACAATTTCTGATAATGAGTTTATTTTCATTAATTAAACTTCTGTATGTGCATTAAGTATCCCTGTTCACTATGGCTTAAGATTAACCTCGCCTAGTTTACAAGCTCGCTAGTTTTATAGCCGGTCCTGATCCAGGGAGAAGAGGGGGAGGTGGAAGTCGGGCTAGCGACCCTATCCCGAGAAATCAGTCCAGTTGCTACAAAAACTCCAACAAACAAGAAAAATATCAAACACAAACTTATTCTCCACTTTAACTGAAGAGACAAAATGACGAGGACAAGTGAAAGCCTCTGGGAACCAATCAGTCAGCCAATGTCTCTTCTTTGGATGAAATCAAGAATAAACATTGGAACATGGAATGTTCGTACAAAGTACATACCTGAGCAGACTTCCCAGGTTGCCAAGGAAATGAGAAGATATGGCATGGAAGTGCTCGGAATCTGTGAGAGCAGGTGGAATGAACGTAAATGCTCAAAATTGTCAACTGAAGAGTCAGTAATCTAGTGCGGTTACCCAGACGAAAACGACAAGCACACCGAAGGAATGGCTATCATGCCGTCACCAATAGCAGCCAGAGCTCTTATGCAGTGGGAACCAATCTCCTTCAGGATGGTTACAATAAGATTCAACTCAAAAGGAAGGAAGTTTACATCTGTTCAGTGCTACGTTCCTACAAACAACTCAAAACTGTTGAAGAAGGAAGGTTTCTTTAGACAACTACAAACAGTAATGGAGATATCAAAATACTTATAGGCGATATGAATGCAAGCCAAACTGGCGGCAGATAATACAGGAAGAGAATTAATCATGGGTCGACAGGCTCTCGAAGAAATGAGTAAAAATGGAGAACGCTTTGCAGACTTCTGTGCTTTCAATCATTTGTTGATTGGAGGCAGCGTGTACAAGCACTGGTATATACACAAAGCAACATGGATTTCGCCTGACAGACACACCACGAACCAGACAGATTTCATCTCAGTAGCGCCAAAGGAAATGAAAATGCAGCTTATTGGACACAGAGTCGAGAAGTGGAGCAGATATGGGATCAGACCACTATTTAGTTCAAAGAACTTTCAAGGTGAAGCTAAAATCCTCCAGAAAAAAAATGGAGATAGGCTATCATAATTCAGGAAGAACATTAATAGACTGAAGGACAAAACTACAAGGGATGCCTTCGCTACAGATATCAGAGCAAAGTCGGAGACTCTACGTGGCATCACTGAGGAAGCCTACATGGAAGAGTACTGAAACTTTGTGGACGTGGTGTTCAAGGAAACGTGTACAAGCATTCTAGGAAGAAAGAAGAGACATGACAAGGAGTGGCTCTCAACAGACACCTATCGAGAAGCTAATAGAAGAGAGGATAGGAGGAAGATGACTCAATGCAAAGACGAGCAATTGAAGGAGAAGCTGAGTTCAGCGTACACTGTACTGAATAAAAAGATGAAAAAGAGTGCTAGGAGAGACAAAAGATAAATCTGTGACACTCTGGCAACTGAAGCAGAATAGGTAGGTCGCAGGCAAAAGAGACCTTAAGACACTATTTCAGATAACCAGGCTACTCGCTATCCGAAAAGAGATCAACCGAAATGATGAAACCAATAAAAGATGCTCAAGGGAACCTGATCATCAAGGAGGAGTAACAAATTAAACAACGGGCTAATCAGTTCAAATTACTCTCGAATGGATCATCATCTGCAACTCGCCCAGAAATACTACCAACAACAGGCGCAAAACTATTAGCCAGTCAATACCAGTCTTCCAACGAAAGCAGAAATCTTGAATGCGATCAAGCTACTGAAGTCCAGTAGAAAAGACAGCAGGACCAGACGGAATTCCTCTGAAAGCGAACCCTGAGACTCTGGCAGATACGCTCACGCCATTATTGCAAAACGTCTGAAAGGAAGGAAAGGTGTCTACCGATTATAAGAAAGCCTGGCCACCTTGTCAAGCTGCTAAAGAAGGGGTACTTATGCCTTACTATGCAAGAACTGGCGTGGAATCATGCTCTCGTCCACGCCAAGTAAAATAATAAGTCGTGTCATCCTGGAGAGAATAAAATATGCACAGGATACAGAACTCTGCCAGTCCGGAACAAGCTGGATGCAGGAAGGGTAAATCATGTGCTGATCAAATTGTAACTCTACTCATCATCATCACCATCATCATCATCATCATCACCGAACAAAGCATAGAATGTCAGTCAAACCTGTACCTCTACTTCATCGGCTTCAAAAAGGCCTTCAACAGACAGCATTGATGGAGAGGTAATTTAGAAACTACTTCAAAACTATGGTGTCCAGTGCCCAAGTCTTTATCAACTTCATTCAACAGCTGGCTTTATGACAATGCCACGTGTCAGATGATCCACAACGGAAAACTCAGTGAGGCGTTCTAAGTGAACAGAGGAGTAAGACAGGGCTATCTGTCCATTATCATTGATGATATTCTTAATTGTGGTGGACTGGATTATGCATCAGACTGTGCGTGGGAAGTGAGAAGACAGGAATACGCTGGACCACTGATAAGGAGACTCTAGAAGATCTGGATTTCACGTGTAGATGAAATATGTCTAGTGTCACACAAACTCGAGGACTTACAGGAGAAAACCAACAAACTGGCAGAAGAGGCAGTGAAGACAGGACTACAGGTGAGAATAGAGAAGACGGAGGTGATGAAGATGACCACGCACCATCGCCATCAACAACCAGCACTAATCACCATCAACGGAAGAGATTTCACAGAGGTTACTTTCTTCACTTATCTAGGAAGCATCGTTTCAAACACAGGTGGATGGCACGGATGAAGATGTAAAAGACATTTAGAATCAGAAAGGCAAGACATGCCTTCATCAACCTGAAACCAGTTCGGAAATCTTTTGCACTCAGCCAGTATAAACAAAAAGATTCGGATTTCCAACACGAATGTGAAATTGGCCCTTCTAAACGCGTGAGAAACTTGCACTGCGTATCACAAAAAGAACTGCCAACATAATGCAGACTTTTATCAACAGCTGACTTCGTTGGCTACATACTGAAGACCAAATGGCAGGCCAGAAGAAATTAGCTACGAGAATCTCTGAGTGAGAACAAACCAACAAGGAGCCAATCGCTCAACAAATATGTAGGGGAATATAGAGATGGGTGAATCAGGCATACATTGAGGAGACCGTCGAGTGACATTGCACATCAGGCCACTGATCGAGTGGAATCCCAATGGGAAGCGGCGAG